TGTTCCTGCTAATAACTGTTAAAACAGTTGCCTATCTTTTAAGGAACTCCTGTCCCGATGCCTTGCCACTGGGGGGTCAGGCTACTCTTGCGAGTTCATTAACCTTGATGATGGATTCATAGACTGTCTCCGAAACGAAATATTACAAAGTTCTTTTTCGCCTCGTCTCTGCTTCACTCCGTCACGTTTTCATAAAACTGGACGTCCCTCCGGTGGCAGTTCAGATGGTCTCGGCCCCGCGTCGTGGGATTCCGTGCCGATGGCAGTCAAGAAAATGAAGGAGATGCTTTATTGCCAGTGCTTTTGAATCGAGAAGCGCGCAGTTCACAGCAACACGCGAATTCGTTTACAAAGTGGTGTCTGGAGAAGCTGAAAGCTGACCAGCGTTGGACGATTGTGACGTAGCAGAAACAAACAGTTTGAAAGTTTGCGTCTGTCGAAAATGTTTCAACGTTGAAATCCTAGGAAACGTAAGACAATTTGTCTGCTACGTCTCGTTTTAAAAGTAATTTTTCACGTGGCCGATTAATGGCCTGCCGATGCAACTTGTTCCATCCCTTGCAGTTGGTTTCGAGAAGGTCCCGCGGTCGAGGCTGATCGAGTCTCTTCGTTTCGGATGTCAGATGGAGGCATTGGCGAGGGGAAGAGGGAATTCGACCCGGATCAGTTCCACGAAGTTCGCACAAATCACTCGCTGTCAACTGCGACGCTTGGCTCTCGTTTCGAAAGGTCGCGAGTCCAGAGTGCACGAGGGCGTCGCGATGTCCTTCGAACTCAGATGGACCAGAACGAACCGATAACGATGAATGGTTTTCCCCGTTGGGTTCGCCAGACGCAACCTCGCAGTTTTCCTCCTTCCCAACATTCGCATTTTTCTGCACAAACAGCGGTTCGTACGGAACTTCATCCCACTTTTGTTGGTGCTGGCATGAAACTTAGGACAGAAATTGGGCTGGAAATAACTTTGAGTAATTTAATTTAATTTTGTGATTGTGGTCGTGTGACGTAACAACACAAAAGGAATATTTTAAGAGCTATTGCAAATTCTTGGACAGGGCTGATATATATTTAGCACGTAGATGGCGTTTGTGCCTCGGAAGAGAAGAAACTGGATTAATGGTCGGTTGTCTGACTCGTTCAAGTGACTCTGGCACCAAAGACGAAACGAGCCCGTTTGAAATGCAAGAGTCAAGCGTCGAAATATACCGGAACACGATACATAGGACCGGAAGGACTCGACCTGGCCTGTTTGAGGACCCAAAATGGTCTGAGTAAAGTCTCAGAAAACCCGCGATCGGTATTTGAACCAAGCGCCTTCCGATAACATGGCCGCAGCTTTAAACAGTGTCTGTGAATCCCACCACATCATTTCGCCTTTCGTTCTGGAATCGGTCTGTTGCCTGCATTTTCACTATTTATCGGTAGAATAAGGCAGAGCCCCACAGAAAGCAAAGGTTAGTTTGTAGAAACGTCCTCCAAACTGAAATGTGACCAAGATTTTTTGTGGTGCAGAACTGAGACTTGTTTGCAGGTAGACGCCTGGAGACGCTACACAATGAGGCTGATTACGCTGGTGTTCATCCTACAGCTGGCCAACTGCTTGCCCATTGTTGATCCAGGTGAGAACTTCGCGTTGCTAAACAACTGAGTCTACTCATGACTCAGATGAAACCTGCGACTGTTTGTACCACGTGCAAGATTGTAAATATGTTGTTTGTTTTTAAGGAAGTCGAGGTTCGTGTTCCTTGCATTTATCCAATATTACAAATACAATATTTCAGAAAAGTCTCTGTCTTGGAGTAGTTAAATGAACCCTTTAAAGCTCAGTGGTAACCATTGGTACCACCTTCTTCAACATTCCGTGACTCTGCATTTTGTCCACAAAGTTGATTTATGCTTCTCGTAATAAACCGATTATTTCCCTAAACAGCGTTAGCCATTTGATCTTTGTAATGGTGATGTGGTGTGTTCATTTTGACCTGCGGACTGAAAGTGTTAATTGTCATTCGATGTGACTGCAACAGGCCTGTTTGTCATCATGGGGGTGCGGTCATGCCGCGCGGGGGTGGGGTACTGTCTTCTGGGGCTAGACTGCACATTGGACGAGGACTTCCTGCCCGACGACCAGGGTGGCCACTGTGACGGCTTGCGGTCCGCCTTCACCCCCAGCGCGCATTTCACCTGCTGCCGCTACAGCGCTGTCAACAGGACGATCCCGCATCTTCCCTACCCCGCCAGCGTGGGGCAAGATGTCGCAGAGAACGACTTGGCACCCCTCGGAGACTACGCCATGACGGACGCTTTGGGTTCAGGTGGTGATTTCCCGAGCGGGAGTAACTTTGTACAGATTACTGAATCATCACAACTGGACGCAGACAGCAGTATTCCTTTTGAATCAAGCATCCAGCCAAGTCAAGATTTGTTGCCTGCCGACATTTCACTGGAGACAGATGATAACAGGGCTACGACTACTGACATATCCAACAGTCCTGCCTTAGACACAGTCAAATATGAAGACATTTTAGTGGCAGATTTTAATATTGAGGATGGTACATTGCAGTCCAATACTTACACCACGGAAATGTTCTCAGACATTCATACAGCCGCTGAAAACATTCTCAGAAACACAGAAACTCCGAGTTCTCAACACAGTGATGCGACAGCAAACACAGAGCTGAAGAGCGAAGAACACTCTACAGTTACCGAGGCAACTGTGACACACGTTGCCGTACAAACACAGAACCAGAGCTCAAGTTCAGAATCTGGGCCGAAAATATCGGGCAGTATTGGTGTTGGTGACAATGAAACTTTAAAGAGTAACCTGAAGTTCGACCAGGTTGGGTCGCCAGATGATCGTGACAGAACAACGTCGATCATCACAGGAGCCGTGGAGGCACAGCCCAGTGTTGTCAGTGCTAGAACAGAAACTGTGATACGTGATGATAAGACGAGGCACAGAAATGTTGAGATTAAGAATCATGACATCACCACAGTGGAAGCTGCAACACAGTTGATTTATTATGGAACTGATACGTCTGAGCCACAGTGGAAGCTGCAACAGAGCTGATTTATTATGGAACTGATACGTCTGAGAGCCATAGAGACACGGGAACCGAGTCTTATTCTGCAGTTACAGTTAGTGAAATGGGTGCTGAAGAGACAGCTCCTTCATCACTTCAGCCAGTATTTGAAGACACAGTCGTCCCTTTCACTCATCCAGACCAAGGATTGCAAGATTCATTAGTTGTCACAGAGTCCGAATCAGGGAAAGCTTCTTCAAAATTATATGAGGATACAAAACCACTGCAAGAATTTGATCAAAAATTGTTTGTACACACGAGTGACTATTCAGGATATCACACAAATTCGTCATCCTCAGTTCTTCCTCCAGAGCATGAAGACACACAGATGCACACAGTAACAGAGACAGTGATGTCAGGAAATGGAAACTCAGTGACCAAAGATGATACTACCAATGTCTTGAGTGAATCAAAGTCCACAGATAATAGTGAAGCCCTGGGTTCTGCCGCTGAAAGCAGTGGGCAACATTTCTTGCCTCAAAGCTCGTATAAAGATACTGTTGGAGCAGGCACGAAAATTGAGTTGAGCATATTTGACGAAATAGACGCGCTGTCTCAACCTTCAAGATCCGTATCTGAGATTTCCAAAAACATTCTTAATTTATCTGAAACATCAAATGAAATTCCTGGCGCAATTCCAACCAAATTTACAGAACTTGAAACAATTAGAACTGTATCTGGACAAACCACGACATCATCTGAGAACGATCCTGAGTATGTCGCGCACACTTCGTTGCAAAAGGGAAGTGACACGGCTAGCGTCATTTCAGCATCATGGAAACAAGATTTACTTCCGAGTGCATTGCCGGAAACAACTGAAGGCCTGAGTGTAATGAGGAAGCCAGTGAACAAACCAGCATCTGCTACAGACAGTGTTCAGAAACCAGAGTTATCGAGTCTTCACGAAACAACTCTGTCTCTGACCACTGATCAGGTTTCTAGTTCAAAAACAATCACTGAGCTTGTGGACAGTCTTGAGACTCAGCAGTTGAATGAAATTACAACAGAATTATTAGCGCTAAGCAACGAAACAACGACGGGAGCAGACGAGGAAAACCTAGAAACCGTTTCATCGTCCAGTGCTGAAACGACAGCAGGACATGAGCTGAAGTCAGATGAACAGAGTGAGAAACAATCCACTGGGTTTCTTGGAAATGATAGCGAGTCCCCTGACAATTCAGAGAATGTTACAGCGTCCATTCCGAAAGCGACCGTAATTCACGGTGAGATTGCCGTCACCTCTGAAGCAACTGAAGCGTTGCCTGTTGTATTCGACAGAGAGGGAACTTACAGTACATCTAACACAGTTGAGGCTTCTAATTCTTTCAGCGTAGTGGAGAGCCATAGTTCTCCTGTTACGACGGGAAGTTCCGTACCGTCCGACGTGATGCCAGACGTAGCCACGAAGCAGCCTCCACTCTGTGGCGAAAAATTTGTGGAGAACTTCTATGATACAAATTGTTGGCTGGTTCACTTTGTGAATCCTTACGATAGTAACAGCTCCGTGTGTGTGGGTAGCTACGTGGACTCGAACACCGTCGTGACGTCGGCCACCTGCGTCTCCAGGTAAAGCAATTTTGACTTCCTCCATTTATTTTGCTCTATGCTTATCAGGTGTGAAATTAATTGACTCTAATTCTACTTGTGCTGGAATTACGAATGCAGCGGTTGATAAATAACTGATTTGGTTGGAGGGTAAATTTCTTGCTTTTGCTATTTGATGTGATTAACTGCGCTGAATTTTTTCATATGAAGCTAACGTAAATTCCCTTTCATGTATTCTAAAGTTACGGTAATAGGGATTTCGCAGCATATCAAGGTAATGTGATTCACTTGTTCATCGGCTGTTTAGTGATAAAAACCTGGAGATGGATCAGAAATTCAAAAGATGCCTCCACGTATGATGATGTGGTAAGAAGTAGCGTAGTACATTTTTAGAGCAAAATGAGTTTCAAATTCTTGCAACTCATTAAAATTCTAAGACGAGCGTGGTCAGCTGCAGGGTGTTATTTGTGTCGCAGAGTGTTTGATATTGGAGTGGCTCGGGTGAACCTGCTCAGCGCTGGGGGCGCAGTGACACGACATGCGATGGTCCGTGACATCATAGCGCATGAAGAGTACAGGAACAAAGGGGTGAAAGTCCT